CCTATACCTAGCCTTGTGATATACTGCTATTTTCTAGTGTTGAAATATCATTATTAATTGTTCAAATAGGTAAATGAACTTCTTCGCGATGTCTTCGATTTCCCACCAAAACAGCTGCCTGTCAATGAACCATACCTATTTGAAAGAAAAGAGGTTGGTTTGATTTTAATTTTTACTGGTTCCCTTTTCAAAAAGCTTTTTGATTACCTTTTTTTTATTGTTGAGTTTATGTCTACCTTACGCTTGGAATTGTAGGTCGTTGTTCGTTTATACTGTCCTAGAATTACAGCAAAAGGAAGTAAAGGAAACATTCGGAAGGTACTTCTCTAAATTCATTTGTGTTACTATATCATGTTTGTGTATTCAGCCATGGTTTTTTTCCCTTAAATATATTTCAATACTAAAGGAATTTGATGTGGAGCAAAACAAGCATGAGCAAGTTGTGCACAATTTTTATTGAGAATATACCCCTAAAAATTGTTGTGTATTGCTATTAAATTTGTTGTGTTTGGTTGTATTAAGTTTCTCATATTTTTAATCTACAGGCTAGAGACAAGGCAGAGACGATATTATTAAATAGGAAACGTGACGTCAAAGGTATCTATCTTATTTTCATACCATCTTGCACTGTACTATTTTTTCCCTTTAGTGGGAGATAAACAGAGATTAATCACAAAAGTAAAAACACGGTAGTTACTTGACTAAACATTTAACCTTCAAATTCACTTGCTGAAGCTCTCTGTAATGACCTACTACACCTGCCTTCTTTATTAGATGTTACCCCAATGCAGTTTGATTTGAATTGGAAAACATGAGGGTTACTATGAGCCCTTTTCAAAGATGCTAATCGAAAATATAGTTACAATTTTCCATTTTTTGAAATTAGATTTCAAAATGAGTAATATTATATGGACTTGAAAAGTATATTTAATAATCTTAACCATTGATTTCACTGTGGGTCCCAATATTTATTGAGATCCACTACCTATTCAATAGTTGAGATTATCAAGTCTAATTTTTAAATTCATCTAGCATTACTCTTTCAAAACTATTAGCTTGATGAATGTTTAATTTAGGAAGCATTTGTGTGCAGCCATGGCTCTTAGGCTATCAGATGATTGATGGTGGAACTGAATCGGACATGGCGATCACAGTGGTAGCGTTTGTTATACAACTGCAGCAAGCAATCAACGGCAGCCAAAAAATCTATTTAATTGTTTTTCACTAAACTTAGATTAGTGTTGGTATTTTATTTTATTTTATTACGGACAAAAAAAATTATTTTTCTTGTTATTCCACGTTTGACACTCCTAATTTTTGAATATTACTAAGAGTAACTAAGCAATGCACGATATCTTGATATTATAATTATAACATTTATAGTAAACTATGGGTTGCGAAGAGGTGGCACAAATGGACGTTGTGGATTAGTCATTATCTTAAGGTAATGAATTTACGGCTTTGTCTCAGAGTCATCAAATAGATAAACTTGCTTGTATGCAATGCAGTGAGAACAATCATACGCAGTCCTGATTCTAAGTTTAATTAAGGACACCCTAAATAGCCATAAATTCTGTGTGAACACAATTGCTATGAAACTCCCTCAGGATCTAGATGTACATATAAAGGTTTTTTAACTTCTGTTATTTTTATTTCCTAAAATATGAGGTTTATCTTATTTTAGTCTCCAATATTTCAATTATATTATTTCAGTCCTTGAAATATTGAATACATTTCTATGTGGGCCCTCCACCAGATTCCTAATAATTTTTCATTGTAAACTTGTCATGTAATTGGTGCAACCGTGTCTATTTTTAAAAGAAACATATTGAAAGAGAATGACCCAAACCAATTACAAAACTCACCACCATATTTCAGGCTTGTCCAACAAAAAATAATGCAATAACCCAAGTTTCATTATAACAAATCCTAGTTTCTATGCAAAAAATCCATCAAAATTGATAAATCTTCAATTTAAGCCATCAGGAAAATAATTACAGCCCAATTAAGCCAAAAATTGTAAATTATTTTTAATCCAAAACTTAATTTAAGGCCTAATTCGTCAAAGTTGTCTAAAATTCAGAGGTGGGCTTTGGCAATTTACCTACGAAAGTTCAAGTGTGCACTCTAATTTGCTCAAAGCAATGCAATTGCAACAAATCCTGAAAACAGAAAACTCAGTAAGCATAACTTTCAAGCTAGAGAATCCTTAAAGGGGAACCTACATTTGTATTTATTTAAATGTGTGTCCGTCCGATAGAGAGAGATAACCACAATTCATGACTTGGTGCGAAGACTAAGATATTCTTGAGAGATAAATATTTCATGACTTGGTCCCAAGGAATTGTCCAGATTCAAACTCAACTCATGACGTCTGTCTGGATTTACGGTTCGTCCCTATTGCTACTTGAACTATCCTTGGGAATAAATCTTCAATTTAAACGATCAGGAAAAATAATTACAACCCAATTAAGCCTCTATAAATTGTTTTTAATCTAAAAAATCCAAAACTTAATGGACTCTGGCAATTTACCTAGGAAAGTTCGAGTCTGCAATCTAATTTGCTCAAAGTAACGCAATTGCAACAAATCTAAGAAATAAAAAATTCGTGAGTATAACTTTCAAGTAAGAGAATCCTTAATGCAGAAACTATATTCGTATTTAAGTGTGTGTCCAATAGAGAGAATTTCCAAAGCTTTGTTGTCGCCGCCTTCTATGAGGCCACCGAGGAATATCTAGTGAGTCTCTGCCTTCTATGAGGCACCATCTGTGTGCCATACAGGGGGATCTACCTTAGAGCTTGAGTGGGCAGTTGCCCCCACTCACCTTTCAACAACCCACATGTTTCTTGTGTAAAACGTCATCACTTTTTTTATATATTAAAAAAATTAATATATAAGATAACTTCAATTAGGCTTTGTAAGGAAATTAGTGACAACTTTGTGATATATTCTTTTACGAACATTACTGAGAAACTTAGTATAAAATAAATTATAGACAATTGTTGAGATATTTAATAAACTTTATATTTTCCAACCAGGAAATCTCAAAGAAGGTCTTGCATCACTTGGTAATTTCTTGACGGATGACTGTCTTTCGAACACTATGAAGGTAATGTGTTTAGAAGTAGCATCATTTCTAGAAATTGACACCAATGTTTTGAAATATAGTTATGTGTGTGACCGACTGTCTTTCGAACACTATGAAGGTAATGTGTGTCTTTAAGCTTGTGCACATATGAATGATTATGCATGTCTTTATCCGAATCCAACTCTAATTAAAAATTGGACCCAAATTCGATTCAAAAAATATGAATAATTTCATTTTCACAATATAAATTTGATTTCGTTTCCTCAAATTATTACTTAATTTCGTCTTAAAGGCAGCATGTAACAAATAAAAACCGCCAATTAGAAAACATAACCATATTTCATGGAATGCACGGACAAATGACTCTATCTTAATTCAATATTTAAAATCCCATAAAAGTCAAATCATGTTGAAATAAAAACACAACTTATCCATATGATAATGATAATAACAAAAGTGAGGATTATATAGTAATACAATACGGTACAAAAACTGTTGTGTAGTCTACACATTAGCATACCCATAAAACTGTTGAGATATAGGAGTTCAATGTCAAGGGCGGAGCTGTGTGTATAGGCTACCAAATATCTACTGTTATGGCAACAAAATTATGACCAATTTATCTTATCGTCCCTTCAATTTTCTGGAAAATTGTAATAGTTCCCCCAGTCTTTTATATCTGTAGTAAGTTAGCAGTTCACTTGTCTCTTAATCTACTAAAATAATTAAATATTTCATTGTTGGTTGCATTAATTGTTATTTAGTCTTTGATCTTAATATATTTCTCATAGGCGAACTTGGGAATTTTTGTGTGAAATTTGCACTTAATTTAGTTCTTATAAATGGACATGCAAGAAAGTTTTTTTATACTAACTGGTTATATTTTATATTCATGTTTTTGCACCCACTAACACTAAAATAGAATCCTAACTCCATCCCAGTTACATGAATGTTCCATCTCAAGCATTAATAAACACCAAGGGTATGTTTGGTTCAGATACAAATAAAGGATAGGGTTGGATAATTAGTTCCCATTTTATCCACAAAATTGTGTTTAACAAGAATATTATTATGTTTAGATTAAGTGATTGTGTACGTTATTAAATTAAAAACGACAAAATAAATATTGAGGGTAAAAATTTGCATAATGTGTAACTTTTATATGAAAGTGTGACTCTATGTTTGCAAAGACAATAAAGTCTTTACATTTTTAACACTTAACTTGTTAAAAATAATAACACGTGCTGCATGGTATTTATTACTGCTTAATATTTGGTGTTAAATGACAATAGTAAACTAGGCCAAAATTGATTAAAATTAATACCAGATCGCTTACCTAGGAAAAAAAAGGCTACAATGCTTTCATCCTCATGTACCAACCAAGATGCAAAACATAGCGTAATATCCCAATCAATGAATAATTTCAGAAAAACAATAGGCCGCCACGGTGACCACAACAGGTTCACTATAGTTAGATGTGGGTTTGGCATTATGAACAAGGGATCATTTAGCAGAAAACAATTTTCTATGCGCAACAGAACAGTGGAACTGGTTCATCATGGCTACGTGCTACTGTTTAACATTGGTTTTGCCGATACATCCATTGGAAGTGGGTGTTCCATGCTCAGGGGCTTCTAGATACATGAGTTCCTAATAATTGTTATGTTCATATGTTGTTCTAAAAGGTCTGTGTACTTTTCGTCATTTAAGGTGATGCATCTTATGATTGTGAGGAAATCATCATGTCTCACCTCTTAAAACTTCCAAGAAAGCAGTTGTGAAAGTAAAAACTCATCAGGAACACTTCATATAAACATTTTTGGATTCTTCAGGTTTTCAAAATAACTAATATAATTTGTTCCTGATATCATATCTCATTCCAACAGAAAGAAGAATCAGTTATGCGTTACCTTTTCGAAGCCTTGCGATCCACCATGGTAAGGATCTGGGACTTCGGTTTCATTATGCCTCTTACAATAGGAGCACGTTAACCTAACCTGCATATTCAGTATCCAAATATAAGAGTAGCAATCCAAAATACACTATTACACCAACACTACTTAACCAACCTTCTTATGTGCATCAGCAGGTAAGGTCTCTCTATGACTCCACCTCTCAAAAGCCCCAAGTTTATCCTCTACACACAATCAGGAAAATTCAAGAAAAGTAAACTAACAACCAAACATAGACACAAATATGTCACTCACAAACACCCCCCCAAACACACAACACACACACTCTCTCCCTCTCTCTCTCACAGACACACACAAGCAAACAATAGTGGATGGGCATTTCACAAAGCACCATCCAATTCTATTCAACACACGCAGAATAAAAGGATGAATATAGATATATATATATATATATATATATATATTTCAATGCTGTAATTCGAGTATACCAACTCAAATCATCCCACCTCTGTTTTAAGTTTCCTCGGTTGATATTAGTGTCATCTTTAAATGCTTTCCACACCATATGCTTGCCTAATACACATACTCAACATATAAAGTTATGCCATGACAAACACCCAACAACCTAATCAAGTGAATATACAGTGGAACGGAACATACACCTTGGTACCAAGGGCAAGAAATTGTCCTAGACATCCTGATATGTCTGGCTCCAGGTATTTTCCAGCCACATGCAAAATGGTTTTGTTCAACATGCATTGAGATACGTCCAGATAAGTGAAATCTTCCCAGAATATCCAATTTGGTGTTAAGGCATGAAATACGATGAACAATACAAACCATTCAAAAAAGCATACAGGAGCATCACACTTGGAACTGTAACCTTGATAAACTTTAACGCGAGGTTGTCTTCCAAATGTCCAAGGCTATGTTGTCAACTAAATAACTGTCATAAAGTCTTTCAGCAGATTTAAGCCACTTAGTTGCCTAGGGTAAAGAGAGCTTGTATCCCACAACAAAAAATTAGGAACAAACAAGATTATTTACATACTCGAGAGGGACACTCTTCCCATTACCGATTAGTTTTGAATTAGATGCTCTAATACGGTATCAAAGCTAGGCCTCTTACAATTGTTCTTGTAATCTAAGGACATAATGGGCTATGAATGCACAAGGTTGTCAATTTCCCACAATACACAACTGGCATTCTTCCCCACTTACAACTGTAGAGTCCCGTCTTAGCCATAACTATCATGAGGGTTGTGTCCTAAGCAGACTAAAAGTCCAAAATACAAATGATTTTTGATTTACAAAGAAACTAAGAAATAGTAAGGTCAAAAAAATTAATTTCAACAAACAGTCAGCTGGATACTGTTAGGGATTCAACAAAAGGGGAGGCTTTGGTCGCTGGTCTGGATCGTTGGTCTGGAACGATGTAG